CAGCTATAAAAACAGGATGTCAATAAACATGCTGCCCAGGTTTACATGATATGTAAGTGGAGGAAGAAAACATGTAACTGTTCCTGTTATGATTAGAGGACCAATTTAAGTAGCTGTACTTTCTGTTGTCCATGATCGTTACGTGTCCCTTACCAGTCGCCGAGTGGTCACCTCTCCAGCACTGTGGCTGCGCTGGCGAGTCAGGTGTTGGCGGTGAGCGAGGAGGCTCAGCGGCCGAGAGCTTTGGAGAGGCAGCCGGGGGTCAATGAACGTAGTGGCACGGCAGTTATGGTCTACAAAGAAAGGCTAGATAGGTGTGCACACAGATACACATACAAGCTGTCAAGTGATAATCATTTTTAATTTGGTTACAGGTTTTAAAAAGTAAGAAATACTTGACAGAATAAGTGTAGAACAGTTAGATACTATTGAGGATCTGAATACAGTTTAACTGTATTCAGACCCTCAAAAAGTCATGAAATGTAGACATTGGGGCACTGACTGATTACAGTGTCAGCCCTACCTTGCCGGTCTGGTCGTGCTTCATCTCCCAACCCCTGGGCAGCTCCAGCTGTTTGTTAGCAAACATGTTGAGGAAGGCCACCAGGTCCCTGTTGTGCTGATAGCGCTCAAAGTGATGAGCATCCCGACGAACCTTACTGATCATATGCTTCAGACATGTGTTGGTGGTGAACATGTGGTAGGCACTCTAGAACCAGGAAATAGATTCCAGTAGACAGGAAGGAGATTCAGCACAGAGGAAACACATCAAGAAAAGAGTAAGTTTTAAGTGCCTTGTGCTACTATTACACTATGTAGTCACTATCGTATGCACACATTTCAGAGGGAAAGCAAAGGGCATGGCTGTTGTGCTTACTACTCACAACCACTACACAATATAGGTGCTGTTTTGTATGAGCTGAAGCTTTGAGTCTGGGATTTGAGTCTTTTGCATGTTACGAAAATACACTATGGAGCCTCTGCAGTTACTACAGTATGTGTGTGAGGCTTTTCTAATGCTGTTAATAACCTAGTAAACACCTTCAGTATGCACCATCAAGTATTTCAAAAGATTACAATTTATTCTATCTATCGCATACATACAACGTTAAATATTTTGTCCATTTTATTTGTATGGCAATGTCAGTCTGTCAGTAAGCCTCAAGTTTGGTCAAATTAAATATGAGAATTCTGCTGAATTCTACTTTTATGCCTCTTAAAGTTTTCAGTTGCAAAATTGTGATTTTTCACAAAATACATGTGTTGTTATGGTTGCTATGCTCTTGGTGTGCCACTGAAGGTTTTGCAGTCTTCTCTTCATGTCCGAACAACTTCTTGCTACTTGCTCAAT